CTTGGCTAAATATTGTACATTTCAATGGCACTGGAAAGCATGTACATGAAAAGAAAAGTCCTGCTTATTTTTTCTCTACTCAAACTTCATCTTTGCTGCCTTGTATAAAATCTGCTCTGCAGAAGTATTTGATACTTTCGACTTTCTATAATTCAGAAGTTTCAAGGACATCACTCCTTGCTGGCTGAATCTCCCTTGGGGGTTCTTTCATTTATAATGTTGCCTAAGGCCTATGCTGCTTCCTGCGGATCTGACCTCCTTTTCAACCCTGTGCTGGCAGCTGTGCTGCATTACTATAATTTCCCCTGGATCACACAGGGCTGTCATATAAAAGACCTGACCTTGTGGCATTATGTCTAAAGGGACAGTGAGAGTACTTTATTCTTTGACCTGTAGTCTATACTCATTTTAAGTAAACCAGACATAAAGCATCCAGGAAAGTATAAAGCTTTACTTTTTTTTTAATCTAAACTATCAAATAGGCTTGTGTGAATATATGCATGTAACATCATTTATAAATGATTTGCAATTTATACATGCAAAATAAAACGAGTCAAGTACTTTCTTCCACTGTTGTCTTAACATGGTCTACTAATCAGGAATCCACCGCCGTAATGTTAAAGGATCACTATAGTGTCAGGAAAACAAACCTGTGGGGACCCTCACCCTCAGGGTCCCCATTCTGTGGTGCTGGAGGGGTTAAAACCCCTTCTGCCACTTACCTTTATCCAGCGCTGGTGACCTCTCCTCCCTGCTGACGTCCGCTCCCAAGTGGAGCGGAAGGCGCATGTACGGCTAGTGCCGCGCGCATTCAAACTGTCTATAGGAAAGCATTTCTCAGTGCTTTCCTATGGACACTCTGCACGCTGGATGCGTTGCAGAAGCGCCTCTAGCCGCTGTCGGAAAGGCAGCCACTAAAGGTTGGATTAACCCTGCTATGTAAACATAGCAGTTTCTCTGAAACTGTTATGTTTACATGTGAAGGGTTAAAACCTGAGGGACATTGCACCCAGACCACTTCGTTGAGCTGAAGTGGTCTGGGTGACTATAGTGTCCCTTTAAAGGGACACTATAGCCACCAGAACAACTACAACTTATTGTATTTGTTCTGGTGAGTAGAATCATTCCCTTCAGACTTTTTGCAGTAAACAGTCTTTTTAGAAAAAATGCAGTGTTTACATTACAGCCTAGTGATAACGCCACTGGCCACTCCTCTGATGGCTGCTAGAGGTGCTTCGTGGGGCATTTCTACACAGTGAGCAGCACTGACATTATGTCTCCACCCTCTGCATGCAGACACAGAACGTTCCGTCTAGCGATGCATTGATTCTAAATAATGCTGATTGGCCAGGGCTGTGTACTATAAAACTACAAAATATAAAAAAACACAACTCCGTAGTGCAATATAAACTGTGATTTATTTGATATGAATTACTAAGAAGCAATCAGAAGCATATGTGATTTAGGTTTCAATCAGAGCCAAGCCCGGACTGGCAAACCAGTCAAATGATTGCTTGGCCGCGATAGCCATGGGCTGAGGCCGGCAGGGGAAGCCAGAGTGTCTCTCCTGCTGGCCCACGCAGAGCTGGGACTATCCAAGCACCAGTGTTCTGTCAGATTTCCCTACCCCGTCAGATTTTCATAACCCACGTCCAGTCCGGTGACGCGTATCAGCTGTTCCCTGTGCTAGAACTCCTGACTGGTAGGGAAATAGGATGGAGGCTGGACTGGGAACTCCTCCTCAACAAGGTCCTGCACGGTAAGTAAAGCTGGTTTCACACTTACATTATAGTTAGTGCACTCACTAAAGCACAGGGACATTTAGGGTTAAGTGAGTGTTAAAATTAAGGTTAGATAAACTAATTTAGCGCCTCACAACTTACCCTAACCTTATTTTGAATCCTTTCTGCACAACAAGGGAGGTGCTGCAAGAAAGGGGGGCATGATCAGGAGCTATAGTGCCATTAAAACAACTTTGTTTTCCTGGCACTATAGTTTCCCTTTAAGAGTCTGGAGTGTTTCTTTTACAATGTAAAATAAATATTTACTAGTTTTTAAGGCCCGAGAATGAATCTTGTATAAGTTGCCTAATATAATATAAGTTGCACTGGACAATCACCAAGACAAGGGAATTTTATTTTTTTCATTATAGCTTGCTTGAGGTAAAGTGCCAGACCATACATTTTTGTGTGTAGGTTTAAATCTATCAATGGTTTCAATTAACGTAGTATGTTTCATGATATAGTTCCTGATTACTAAGATGTCATTTTCTTCCTTTATTTTACAGGATCTAAATGGAAATTTTGGCCTGTCAAAACCCTTACTTGTACAAAGGAGAACTCGTGTTAGCCTCAGGGATCTTATATTCTGCATGGAGCAAGACAAAGGAACTAGATATTCTTTATCTTTGTATCGTGCGCTCCTCAAATGAACGTTCATTGATGGTGTTGCCAAAGAAAATTTACCATACTATTGCACTATCCTGAAATTTGTTTCCGGACCAAAAAGAAAACTAGCAGGAAAATAGTTTACTTTTTTTTTTTTTCTTAAAGTAGAACTAAACGAATTTCAGCAAATGCAGCTTGTTTTTGTTTGTTAAATCAATGTATCCTCTGGGTGGATGCAGCAGGATTACAATATCCATTCGTTCACTAAATGAGAAGGATTAAGTTACAAACATTGTTTCATGGTTTTAGTTTTTCATGCTGCAACATTTCCTTAAATGTATTAGTTATTTTTTTTTTTTTAAAGGATTTCTGTTAAACCAGAGCTGCTGTTCATAACAGTATGTTTCACATAAATCTGTTTTGTTTCCAAAAAAATAGTGCAGTAACATGTGACATTCCATTATATGTTTTACATTACTTCCTCATCCCCCAATTGATGGCCTTGTGTTTTGGGGTTGTTTTATGTAGGGGTGCTGTGCATATCCTATAAACCTGAACAAGTTATGTCATGTAGCTGACATGAGTAGCTTTATTCATAAAAATAAATAGCAGACACAGCGTTTCTGCTAACTTTCTGAGTACATTTGTGTTTTGTTTTTGTTTTTTCATGAATGAAATTACTCATGGTGTTGGGTACAGGTGCTAAAATATGAGAGAACATGCACCTGTAAGGAAGTGGGGTTATACAGAGTGTGTGTGTGTGTCATGTATGCACAGGACATTGGACCATTCACTTGCCACAGAGTGGTGGTGGGATGATGAACACTTCATATATATCTTGCTATGTTATTCAAGAAACACGTTCATTTTTAATGTTATTTAGGCGGATGATCACACACTTTTATGTTGGGTTTTTGTTTATGGCTAAACAGTGGTTTTAGCTACATTCGCTCTGTAAAACAAAATAATTGCTAAATATGGCATCCTTTGTTTACAAAACAAAACGTTTTTTTCTATGCAATTTTTTTTAATTATTAAGGTCTGTGCACTTTCATGTTGCTGATTGTTATCTTATTTAAGGAATTAAAATTATTTTAATAAAAATGTGTTTCCTAATAAAATGTAATGAACCATAATTACATTGAACTATAGTTAAAACATTGATCCTTAAAGGAACACTCCAGTTGAGAGAATAAAATATATAATATGCATATTTAATGTAGTGTACCTTTAAACTGTTAACTGCCCCCTTCCACTAATGTTGGCACTGAAACTGAAAACCTATTAAACTTACCTTTATTCCAGCTTTCTGTAGCTTCAATCATCTTCCTATGAAGTTATCTTTACTAATGACTTGTGTCCAATCAGATGCTTCATAGAAAGCTTTGGGGAACAGTGGGGAACAGTGACAGTGCTTCTCTATAAGAAGTACCGGTACTCGCTTCTGTCTTTTATTTACTTTGATCCTATGTTTTTTACCTCCTAAAAACCAAAGGTTTTCTTTATTTTTTTGTAGTGCATTGCTAGTTTCACATATAGGCAGGACATGTTCAAATATAACCTTTCAAATTGTCATCAGATAGCATACTGTACATGTCAATAGTACTGCACTATTTTTAAGGTAAAGGAAACTGTGACGAGACCAATCTCGCCACTGTGCATTGGAGGAGCCGGGTTGCCCGCCTGCTGCCTTTAGACTATGGCCCCATGTTGAAACGCTTGATTTTCCCCTGCAAAGACATGAAAGCCGGGTCATTCGGTACTTGCCCTATTTGAACAATGATACCCCAGAAGCTATGCCATGGAGCCCATTCGCATAATGAAAGACTATGTGAAAGACTTTGGCTCCATGGCAATTGAACTGTATGTATGTGATCTGAGCGCCATTCAGTAATAGTGTGCGCTCAGATATAAGCTATCTGGGGAAATGTTGAATGCACCTGTTTTATGCAATTGCTGCACAGTTATATATTTTTATGTATTTTATTGTCTTTTGCTACCATGTGTTCAATGGAGTTTTGCCTCTGTCCTTGGAGATAATTGGATTACTTCCCAATTATCTCCAGGACAGAAGACTCTGTGGAACTGGTTTTGGGCAGAAGAGCCATGCTTTATTTGGTCACAAAGGAATTCGATCTAAGTTTTGACCCACTGAAGCAATTTGTATGATTTTGACATATGTTTATATTTGGAGTATGCTGATTCTGAAAATGTAAGTTTATGTGAATGTGATGCATACTTTTAAAGTTATGAATAATGTAGAAAAACTGTATTTCTCTGCCTGTGATAATTACATTAACCCATTGTGTAAGGTAATTGTATCACAGGCAGAGGGGAGGATTTTGTGTGGGAGTGTCTGAGTGTATTGTATGTGTTGGTTGTTTTACAAAACCCTGTGGGTGGTACTAATGTGTATATAAGAACAATAAACCCACAGCTCTGCCTGTTCACTGCTTGACCCTCAACACGGACCTTTGTCTCGTTCTTGGGGGGATTTATTGTATGCTGTTCTAGTTCGACTGCTAGGAGTGTAAACCTTTCGTATGGTTTTTCCTATTCGGCTGTTTACAGTGTTTGTATGGTTCCGGTTCGGCTGTTTACAGCATTCGTATGCTTGTCCAGTTTGTTGGCTTGGTGTCTACAGTAGCTGCCTGTATATCTGGAAGGGAATATCCTCTAAACAGCGGTTTAACCCTTTTATGCCTGGGGGTGCCGTAACTGAAACTATGAAAAAAAATTACACAGTGCCTGCAGACTTAACTTACAAAATTATCTGACAAATAGGCGAGATCTATTCTCTGGCAGAGATTGTACTTGGTAAATATGAAAAAAAAGAAAAACTTAAGAAAACAAGATGCTTCGCATTGAGCTCTAGTTAGCGAGGCAGGTGAGCCAGCCCTAATTGCTTGTGAGCAGCCATATAATTGGGAATACCACAGAAGTGAACCAGGCTAAACTTTAGTGTGATTTAAGATAGATTTTGCTTTAAGTGGTACAAGTTGGAGATTACTTGGTGAATATCAAGTCCTCATCTAGCTATAACTAAGGGGTTGTCAAATCCACCTAGCGTAGAGAGAGCTATGACATCATGCTTAACCCTGTCATCTTGGCAGTACATTCCCTGAGTTTAACTTAACAGGGGAGTGAGACCACATTGCAATATTTGGGAGATAAGCTAGTGAGGTAATAAAAAGCATGAACAGAGAAATGTATATAAGTGTGTGATGTTTGTAGATCTCGGCTTAGGAGCCTGCAGAAGGGTTAAAAGTTTGTGTCAAAAGCAGGTTCCAAGCTGGGTCCGCCGTGTTTTCCCAGAATGTGAGTTCCCGTAATGCGAGTCCCCCTTCAGCCGATTCCCAGCATATGAAAAGGTGTTAATGTATGTAAGTCCTGCTGGGGCAAAACAAAGTCCAGCTGCGTGAGTCCCAGCGTAGGGCCTGTCCACTCAGCGCCGTGGAGACCTGCGTTTGTGGTGCAGGAAGATCCCTCTGTTGGTGATTCCTGGGATCTCCGTGGCTTTGTCAGGATCCAGTGCTGTGAGTGTGGTCTACCTCTTGGCGGATGCTCAGCGAGTTTCTGCTTCGAGCTGGATCTAGGGAGCATCTTTAGACTCCTTCGAACTGGCACCCCTGTTTGGTTTAATCGTGCCGGTTTGCGGGCAGGTGGGAGAGATCTACATCTTCGTCGCCATCTTTTGGCCCCTTTCGGAAGGGGACCTGCTTGACTCTGGCAGGGAATAGTTTTTTTTTATCTATTCCCATCACAACTGGAGTGCGAACCTGGTCCTTTATAAGAGATACATTGATGATATTTTTCTAATATGGAAGGGGGATGAGCTTTCTGTTTTAGATTATTTTTTTTTTTTTTACTTTTTAAATTCTAATCAATGGAATATTCATTTAACTCAAGAAATTAGTAAGAATAAAATTTAACTTTCTAGATTTGGAAATCTAGAAAAATTTGGGAATTAGACAGGGAATCTCTACTGGTCTATAGATCTAAAAATACAAGAGGAGAAAAAGAAAAAATTACCTCTGATTTTTAATTACAGTAAGGACCAAAATCAGCTGAAGAGAATCCTGAACAAGAATTGGCACAACCTACAATAGGATTTAGAAATTATACCATTTATAGAAGATAAACCGAAGATAATTTTTAGAGGAGATAAAAATCTTAGGCAGGTACTCACCTCTATTAATGTAGATGTACAAAATAATACAAATAATTTCCTAGATACATATAGAAATACTAGCAAAGGGTTTCACTATTGTGGTTTTTGTATGGGATGTATGAATTTGAAATACAAACCTCAGAAAATGTTGTTTCTTGCATTCTCATCTCTCACCTCACAACTATCAAAGTTTAAAAACAGACTTCACGTCATTATATATAAAAAATGTGCATTGTATTCCCTTGTCATGCCTTACTACATTGATGTTTATTACTATATCGCGGGTACATGCTGTTGGGGCATGGCACACGCATTTGCAACTGTTATTTTGCCTTGTGCACTCAAAAATAGATCATTTATTAAAAAAAAAACAAAAAAAAAAAACACCGGGCGGAGACTCTCATGCACTTTGACAAAGACTGTACGGTTGAAACGCATTAGTGCTACTGTACTTTATTGTATAACCTGTTTTTACAGTCCCTGTTACTGTTTTATTTTGAAGTAAATATTCTTTCCTATCTCATTGTATTTTGTATAATTTATACTTAACTGGTGATACCGTTTTGGTAGCCAGCATAAGCTTATTATTCAATTGCTGATTCAGCTAGAGCCTGCTTTCTAAGTGTCAGGATTACTGATTGATCCAGCACGTAGAATTGTATCACACCTAGGACTAAAAGGTAACGTCTTACTGGGCCTTAGAATGGCCGGACTTAACGCACCAAAGAATAGTCAGAATACTTGCCAAGGTCGGGGGCACAGAATGGGACACCACAATAAGGGAAAGCCAGAAGTCAGGGATAACAGAATACAGGGAAGTCAAACAAAGCCAAAGTCAAAAAACAGAAATAAACGCTCAGGAAAACTGTCAACCACTAGGGAAACCACAACAGGGCAATTAAATTAGTGCTTTACAGTTCTGATTGGCCAAAAACGGCCTTTGACCCCAACACGTATGTGCGCGTCTCCCGCATGACATCACGGGCACGCCGACGTCGGCATTAATGTGGGCAGACGTGGGGGTAGAATTTGGCAATGGCCACTGCGGATCCACAACATGTTGCAAGGTGAGGAGAACTATGTTACATTACCCCCCACCTGAAGACCGCCAACCGGGCGGGCAGGTCCAGGCTTGAGAGGAAATTTGGCATGGAAAGAACGAATTTTGTGGCCAGCATGGATGTCAGAGGCCGGAACCCAAGAATGGTCAGTAGGTCCATAACCTCTCCAATAGACTAAATACTGTAAGGAGCCACGAGAGAACCTGGAATCCATTATGGAGGAGACCTCATACTCCTCCTGTCCACTTGGGACAGTATATTGCAAACAAGCGGCTTGAGCAAAGAGACATGAAAGGTATTAGGAATCCGCAAGGAGGCAGGGAGAGCCAGAGAATACCAAACAGGATTAATCCTACGACGGATACGAAACAGACCAAGGAATCTAGGAGCAAACTTCATGCTATGAACTTTAACCATGATTATGCACGATGATAACCACACCCTCTAATTCACTTGGTAAACAGGGTTAGCACCCCACTGTTTATCAGCATAAAGTTTGAAACTGTCAGCTGCAATTTCTAGAGTGGAATGCGCTTTGATCCAAGTATCACGAATGGAAGCAAGGTGGTCATTCAAAGCCGGGATAGCTGTATCAGAAAAGATGGCCGGCAGAACAGTAGGATGCGACCATTATTAATAAAGAATGGGCTATGTCCAGAAGAGTCATGGTCAGCATTGTTCCTAGCAAACTCGACCCAGGGTAGTAATTCGGACCAATTATCCTGAATGCTATTAACAAAATGCAAATATAATTCCAAAGACTGGTTAGCCCTATCAGCCATGCCATTGGTTTGGGGGTGGTAGGAAGAAAAATGCCTGTTTCTTGAAAGCCCTGCAAAACCAAGAGACAAACTGAGAACCCCTGTCAGATACAATATTGTGAGGAATGCCATGCAGTCGGACAATCTCACGTATAAAGATAAGAACCAGGTCTTGTGAAGATGGCAATTTTTTTAGCGGAACGAAATATGTAATCTTAGAAAAACGGTCACCCACCATAATGGTATAACCATTAGAATTAGGAAGTTCAACAATGAAATCCATGGACAAATGGGACCATGGAACATTAGGCACAGGAAGTGGTTGTAACAAGCCACATGGAAGCTAATGAGGAACTTTCGAAACTGCACAAACAGAACAAGCCATCACATAATCTTTAATGTTTTTCCTAAGAGTATCCCACCAAAAATCTCATGATCGTGGAAACGGATTTATTAATGCTTTGGTGTCCAGCAGTTGCGTTGGAACACACTCATGACATTCACTCTTTCACACAATGGAACAAACTATTTATCTATCGGTTTATTTCATGGTGTCGGAGACTGAGCTTCAATGATGGTGCCAAGCAGAGGTGAAGATAATGAAAGGACAATGGAAGTGATGATACATTCAATAGGACCAATAGGGAATGTTTCTCGTTCCTGCACTGATTCAGTATCAAACTGTCTAGACAAGGCATCCGCCTTCATGTATTTGGGACCGGTACTGTAAGTTATAAGAAAGTTGAAGCGAGATAGGAACAAAGACCATCTAGCCTGTCTAGAAGACAGTCACTTAACGTCCCCTATATATGCCAAATTCTTATGGTGCGTAATGATCAAAAGGGGATCCTTGGAACCCTCCAAAAGATGTCGCTACTCTTTAAGCGCTAATCTAATGGCCAACAACTCTCTATTGCCAATATCATAATTATGCTCAGTGGGGAACAATTTTCTAGAGAAATATTTACATGGATGCAAAGTAGTGTCCTGATTTTCCCTCTGAGAGAGAACAGCCCCTACACCAGTTTCGGAGGTATCAACCTCCACTATGAAGGGTTTGCTAGTGTTAGGATAAATCAATATATCAGCGGATTCAAACCTTTGTTTGACAAGTTCAAAAGCCTCTTTAGCGTCCTTAGACCATATCGTACTATTGGCCCCCTTGCATGTCATATTGGTGATCACAGAAGAGAACCCTTTAATAAATCTTCTGTAGTAACTGGAAAACCCAATGAACCTTTGAATGGCTTTTAGTCCATTCGGCAAAGGCAAATGTAGAACAGCCTCTAGTTTCTGAGGTTCCATCTGAAAACCAGAAGCAAAAATGTTATACCCCAGAAATTGTACTTCAGCCTCATCAAAAATGCATTTTTCCAGTTTGCAATAAAGTTGATTGTTAAAGGACCACTATAGTGCCCTCAGGGTCCCACTCCCGCCGGGCTGAAGGAGGTTAAACACTCACCTTTCTCCAGCGCCGGGCTCCCTTGGCGCTGGGGACTCTCCTCCTTCCGACGTCCATAGGAATGCATTCTCAATGTTTTCCTATGGACGCTGGCGTCGTCTCACTGTGAAAATCAGTGAGAGGCGCAGAAGCGCCTCTAGCGGCGGTCAATGAGACAGCCACTAGAGGCTGGATTAATCGTATTGTAAACATAGCCGTTTCTCTCAAACTGCTATGTTTACAGCAGGCAGGGTTAATCCTAGATGGACCTGGCACCCAGGCCACTTCATTGAGCTGAAGTGGTCTGGGTGCCTATAGTGGTTTGACCTGTTTGTGGTGAGTCTGAGGGTAATGAGAATAAATAAGGATATCATTCAGGTATGATGACAAATGAATAAATATAGTCCCTGAGTACATCATTAATAAAGTCCTGGAACACAGCCGACGCATTGCATAACCTGAAGGGCATAACAAGGTATTCATAGTGCCCACTTCTAGTGTTAACCCCTTAAGGACACATGACATGTGTGACATGTCATGATTCCCTTTTATTCCAGAAGTTTGGTCCTTAAGGGGTTAAATGCCGTTTTCCCACTCATGATTTTCTTTAATCCTTACCAAATTGTTTGCACTCCTGAGGTCAAGTTTAGTAAAGATTTTAGCACCCTGGAGTCTGTCAAACAATTCGGAAATGAATGGAATTGGATAGGCATTTTTAATTGTGATCTTGTTTAGTGCCCTGTAGTCAATGCATGGACGTAACTCTCCATCTTATTTTTCTACAAAAAAGAAGCCTGCACCAGCAGGCGTGGATGAATTACGTATGTGGCCCTTACTTAGGGAGTCTTTCATGTATTCTTTCATTATTCTACTCTCCTGTGGTGATGAGGCATACACTGCTCCCTTGGGTGGCATAGCACCAGGTAATAGATTTATGGAACAGTCGTATGACCTGTAAAGAGGTAGAGTATTGGACTGATTTTACTGAATACCTCCTTAATCTCCCAATACTGTGTGGGAACCTCTGGGTTCTGAGGCGTTGCAGGGGTAATGTAATGATGCCCACTCTTTAGTAATGTGCAACATACATCTCTCTGTATAGTCCTTGCCCCATTCCAATATCTCCCCTTTTGCCCACTCGATATGAGGATTATGCTTAATAAGCCAAGGGAATCTTAATATGATGGGACAAGATGGAGAAGTAATTATTTGGAAGGTTATGTCTTCCTTGTGTCGAGCACCAATGCATATGTTAATGGGAGAGGTTTCGTGGGTAATTAAGGGTTGAGAGAGGGGTCTCCCGTCAATAGCTTCAACAGCCAGAGGTGATAATCTCTCCTTGATAGGTATGAAATGTTTTTTGACAAAATGTATATCGATGAAGTTTCCTGCCACACCTGAGTGTATCAGGGCTTAGCATGAAAAGTCCTTCCTATCACATTTGGCCATAATCTCAAGGAGGAATCTACTTTTGTTATTCCCAGAGGACTTATCCATTACACCTATGACCTGTCCCTTTAGGGTTCTTAGGTGCGGAAGTTTTCCGGACATATGGGACAAGAACTCCTCATATGTCCTATTCTACCGCAGTATAGCCATAGACCCTCTTTTCTCCTATATTGTCTTTCTGCCTCTGACAGTCTAGTGACCCACCAACTGCATGGGTTTGGACTGTACTGGGAGGTCAGGAACAATAGGTCTGGAGAAACTGGGTGCTAAAGGCATAGCCATACGTCTGGTCTTATTTCTGGTATTTGTATTTTCTATGGTTCTCAATCTATTATCAATTTGCATGACAAATGTAATAAACTCATTTAGTTTTTTTGGTAGTTCTTTGGCAGCAATCTCATCCAAAATTGTCTTAGATAATCCTTTCTTAAATGCAGAGATTAATCTGCTGTTTGTCCAGTCTACCTCAGAAGTCAAGGTGCGAAACACTATGGCATAATCTGAGATAGACCAGTTCCCTTGTTTGATATGCATTCGGGCAGTGGAGGCGTCATCCTGCCTGCCTAATGGTTCAAACGTTAATTTAAATTCCGCAAGGAATTCCTGGTAATTGTGTGCAATACTTCTATTACTCTCCCACAATGGATTGGCCCAAGCTAAGGCTTTACCTTTAAGTTGATTTAGGAAACCCTGGCATTCTTGAATATTACCCGCAAAATGCGGGGGGAGGAGATAGGAAGATAGTGGGTGCCTTATGTACTATAGGTGGAGGTACACTAGGCAGAGGTGACAGTCAGAGAAACCGCAGGCTGTAGATGTGGTGTTCGGGTAAGAAGCGTACTGAAAGCCTGGGCAAATTGATCCATACAGTGATCATTCTCCTCTAGCTTTCTCTCACAAGCAACTATATGCTGACACAATTCTACAGGATCTATGTCCATGTCGTAATGTCAGGATTACTGATTGATCCAGCACGTAGAATTGTATCACACCTAGGACTAAAAGGTAACTTCTTACCGGGCCTTAGAATGGCCGGACTTAACGTACCAAAGAATAGTCCAGATACTTGCCGAGGTCGGGGGGGGGGGGCACAGAATGGAACAAAATGATAAGGGAAAGCCAGAAGTTCGGGATACCAGAATACAGGAAAGTCAAAAACCAGAAATAAACACTCAGGAACACACTCTGTGACAACCACTAGGGAAACCACAACAGGACAATGAGGAAAAGTAAATTTGATCTTAAATAAGTGCATTACAGTTCTGATTGGCCGAAAACTGCCTTTGACCCCAAAACATGTGCGCGTCAAACGTCATTAACGTGGGTGGACGTTGGGGTAGAATTTGGCGTGGATCTGCAGCGGCCGGCGTCCAACATGTTGCAAGAGTCATTACAGACACACGCCTGCTGGGCACAAGTACCGCAAGGTGAGGAGGAATATGTTACACTAAGGCTCTACAGAGTGTGAGTGACCCATTACCTCAATTATTGATCAATTGGTGTTACATGCAGTATTATGCTATGTCTATTTGTATACTGTTTTTTACAGAATGATCAAGAGGTCTCACATCTATAAGTATTGATTGTGTGTTTTGGTTTTATTATTGATGTAGTGTCTTTGGAGTGATTTTCAGACAATATTGTGTCTCTGTTGTTGCTATTGTTATACTATTCAGCGCTAATCCACCTGTATTTTATCCTATTTCTAGGTGAAATATTTTCTCTCTGAAGTCTTATGGCTTGACTAGTGTGTGCAGATCTGTGGTGAACAATGTATATTAAATATAGATAGATATCTATATTATTTTATTTATATAGCGCCAGTATGTATAGCAATTATAGATTCATACTACAGATACGATGGCACTGTCCCCAAAGAAAGGAGCAAAACTGTGGTTATTACATTTAGTATCTGCTACTAGGAATAATAAATTGCATACTGTTGCCCTATTTTATTTTGCTCTTAAGCCTTGTCTGTATTTGAATAAATATATATCCCTCCCTACTGCTAATAAAAATTATTTGAAATGCGTAAAAAAAACAGTTTTTATGTATACGCACCTCAGTTGTATTACTACAGAACATTTAGAGTAACAACAAACAAACTTACAGCGGTCACCTCTACGTTAGTTCTGCAATATTTACCACTTCTAGCATCTATTGCTTTTAGGGCACTAGTTCAGAATCTATTGTGTAAACTGCAATCTTCGGCCTAATTTAAAAGGTTAATAATTGTACATTTACATGGTTATCCAGTAAAGTGAGAATTCAAAGTGGGATTCAAACGTAAGACCACAAAAGTAAAAGTTAGCTGAACTGGAAATATAGCTTATTTAGAGAATTTTTCCAGTTTGGCTATTTTTAACCTGAATTTAAATTCTCACTTTAATGAATAACGATGTAAAACATAAACTGTGGACTATGTAGATTCTGAATGAAAGGAGTACCGTCATTTTGTAATGTGCTGTTAAGACAATATTTTATTTTTCTTGGTACCATCAGCTGAATTTTATAAAACAGAGTGTGCCAAGAAGTTGGCTCCAACCATTGGGAACTTACAGCAGAGATAAGTTTGTCTCTACTTATCTCCAGTATAGATGTCAATCTAGTAAATGTACATAATTGTGATGACATGAAGGAAAAGGTGATCATTGCTCCTTAAAAGGATACATTTGTAACCCCAGTATTCCTTCAGAGTCTGTTCTCCATAAATTAACCATCCTTGGGGAGTAATGTTTGGTTTGTACGGTTTCATTCCTCTGTATGTGTTTGTGTGTGGTTATACATAATCCAGTTAAGCATATGCATATAATCCACAAGCAACCTGCAGACAAACAATAGACAGGTATATAGTGATATTATTTACCATGTGCATTTCATTGTATTGGTGCACAGAGTGTCTGTTTAAGTAAATTAGTAACAGTGATTTTATATTCTATTATTGAATGCATATTTGTTAAAGATCTTACATTTCCAAGGCCACTGCCATTTTTTGCCTCCTCATCCAGTTTAATTTTTTTTTTTTTTAATATGGAGTTGTGACATGTATCACTACTTTTAAATTGTATGTAAGTGGGTTTGAGGGAGGTGAAATACCATGTCTTGTAAATGGGGTTGAGGATATTAGGAACAAAACATACAACACTTTAACAAAAATTGATTATTTTTATATCTCAAAAATACCTGTTTAAATTATCACATTATACTCAAATAGGCTTTGCTGTAACTTTCCAACCACTTTCCAGTAATTGCCAACTTCATACATACCCAAACTTTGGAAGACTGTGAGAGTAGTGCCTATCCATAAAAGTGGTGACACTATTTTGGTTTCTAACAATCGCCCAATATCATTGCTCTCAGTGTTGTCAAAAATCTTAGAAAAATGTGTCCATACGCAACTATGTGAGTATTCCCACCAATCAAACCCCTGATCAATCAGGTTTTGGCCCGAATCACTCCACTACAACTGCCCTCTTAAAAGTTTGCAATGACATCCAAGCTGGTATGGAGCAAGGAGACCTAACTGGAGCTATTTTCCTTGATTTTGCAAAGGCCTTTGAGACAGTAGACCACAACATTCTACTGCACAAACTCAAAACTGAGGTATTGGTGATTGTCCACTAACCTGGTTTTGATCATATGTATCTGATCGCTTGCAATATGTGTCTATTTCTGACAGTGACTCCCTCTCCAGGTCACTTGTGGTGTTCCCCGAAGGTTCCATTCTTGGCCCCCTACTATTTACATTATTTATAAATGATCTGCCTAACGTCTGCAAATCCTCAAATGTACACATGTACGTAGACGATACAGTAATCTATGCAAACAAATCCGATCTACCGCAGCTTGAGACTGTGCTCCAAAACCAGTTTACAGAGGTAGAAAAGTGAATTGCAAAAAACAAACTCTTCCTAAACACTGACAAAACTGTCACAGTGATCTTTGGAACAGAACCTAAATTACACAAATTACACACTTCCCACCTATCCATCAAAACTAATTCAAATAGCACACTGACCGCAGTCCACTCTTTCAAATACCTGGGTATGTTGTTAGACCCCAATCTGTCTTTTGGCCTCCACATAGAAAACTTGCATCCAAAACTGGATGCCTTGTACAGAAACAAATCCTGTCTAAGCCCTACAGTAAAGGAAAATGCTGATGCCAATCAATACATTGTATAACTCGTTCTGACAATTTGTGCTACAATGTAATTACAGGACCCACCATTGTGACATGCTAAAAGAACTAAACTGGTTGTTGCTGGAATCCAGATGCACCCTTAATCTATCCAGCCTTGTGTTTGAGCTTTTCTGGGAAGCTCCCACCCTAGCTGAATGCTCTCCTCGGCTGTTCCCACCTCCTATAACCTCTGATCCAGTACCATCACTTTATTTAGTCTACCTCAATACAAAAAGAAAGCAGCCCGATCCTCCTTTTCCTACAGAGCACCGCAATTATGGAACAACCTCCCGCACACTTTCAAATCTTCCCCAAGCCAAAGTCATTAAAGAGATCCCTCTCTACATATCTCAAAACAGAATGCATGTGGTATGGTTGATTATATATTTTCTACCTGTCCTATGCTAAATTTTGTATATATTGTGTATTAATAGTGTTTTTGTATTTTATCGTACCCTATTGTATCAATGCAATGTTTTGTGGACCCAGGACATACTTGAAAATGAGAGAAATCTTAATGTATCTTTCCTGGTAAAATATTTTATAAATAAATAAATTTCAATGCCATGCATTATTCATTTTCTGGTCTCAGGTCAAAGTAGCATATCTGAACTCAGCATACAATGGTTAAGGATATGAACAGCTTCATGTCAGTGGATAAGTCGGAGTGACTTTTTTACAGTGACTGGCGTGTATCCACGTGGCTTTTCCTTCTAGTTTCACCGAGGTCACTGTGGTTAGCAACACTTAGAAGGAACCATCAAATCTTGGCTCAAGCCCTTTTCTCACATGTCTCTTTATCACTATCCGATCTCCAGGTTGTAGTTTTAGTGGTAGAGCTGGAATCTGGATGTGGAATAGAATCAAACACTTGTTTATGCACCTGTCCTAACTTCTTATGGACATAGGAGGTCATGTTACTATGTTGTAATTGGAGTGTCTGTGGGAAATAGTCCTGTCTTGGGGGCACATCCAAACAAAATCTCAAAAGGGATAGGCTATTTCTTTGCTGAGGGGTGAATCTTATTGAGAAGAGTGCTAGGGGAAGGCATTCAGTCCAAGCCTTCTCTGTCTCTTGCATGGCTTTTGCAATTTTATTCTTTAGGGTGTCATTTGCCCTTTCTACTTTCCCACTACTCTGGGGGTGGTAAGGGGTATGGAATGCCTGACTGATCCCCTAGTGCCTTCATTATTTCTTGCATTATTTCCCCAGTGAAATGGCTACCTCTGTCACTTTCAATCACTTCAGGTACCCCGTATCTATACACCAGTTCCTTCAGAAACTTACTTGCTGTGACCTTTGTTGTGACTTTCGACACTGGGTAGGCCTCAGGCCAACCTGAAAAGAGATCAATGCACACCAACACATATCCATACACTCCTACCTTAGGCAGTTGAAAATAGTCTATCTGCAGTCTTTGAAACGGGTAAAG